AAGCCCTTGACTAGTGTAAGCACTGCTCAGCAACAACTGAAACATCGGTGTGTTATCAACATTATTCTCATCCTAAATCCAAAACACAGCACTGTACCAGCTACTAGGAAGAAAACTAACTCTATCCCAGCCGAAACCAGGACAAGCTTGAATGTCTTTACCTTGTCTGTTGTTCATTGAATGGGTTCTCCAGCATCTTGAGCGATAATCGGTATCAGGGGTTTTGCCATTTCCTTGGAAGCAGCTATCCAGGGGTGGCAGAATCCTACAGCTCCTAAAGAGGCTTGCGTTTGTTTTTAGTAACTGGTCAGGGAAGATTTTGAATGGTTTTAATATGGTTTTTAGATAAATGCCACTCCTCTTGTTGGAGAACGTAACCCAGATATTCTACACTTCTCTTATAAAAATTGTAACTTATGTGGAGAGGCCCGATGGCCCTTTTCAGCTAAGGCAAACAGTAAGGAACAGGTGTCAGCTGTACAAGATTCCTTGGCTACTAATAAATCATCAACATATTGTATCAAAAACAGATCAATTTTTTTTAAAACACAACATCGTACAAAACTTTTACTAAAATTTTAGAAAAATAGTGGAGGACTGAGTGAAGTCCTGAGGCAGCCTTGTCTATGTTAGCTGTACCTTTCCCCAAATAAATGCAAAAAGGCATCGAGAGTCTGGATGAGTAGGTATACTGATTTAAGGCGAAAAATGTTGTCCCGTCTCCAGTAAGTCGAGGGTTGTATATGCCCACCTTTAGGGAATTTCAAGTGTCAGTAGACACATAGGAATGGGTAACTAAACTGAGCCCTCAGGGCAAGACTTAGGTCCAGACCCAAGGCACTGAAATGTAGCCGTATGTGAGCTACATGTGTCAGGTCCCCGTATAGTCAATGGAGGTATATTCAGTGGATCTAAAGATTGAGGAGACTTTACCAAAAAACAAGGGTTTTTTTTCTGTGTCAGAAGCTTAAGACAATTAAAATCCACCTACAGCTGACAGTTACTCTTAATAAAAAAAAAAAATGAAGCTGATGACAGGTTTTTGTTCTGCATTTGTCATTGTTCTTCTCACGTAACTTAATGCCATATAGAATTTCTTGTTCATGTAAAATGATAAAATGATACCTAAGGCTTTTCTGCTTTTGTTCTGGAAAAAATAGATATATTTTCCAAGAGGATTAAGTTTCATATTCTTGGTATTGTAGTCTTTGGCTTCTTTAGTTAAAGGGAAAGACTTGTTTACTGTAAGTTTCTGCACATTACGAGTTGGGGCAATGTGTGTTGAAATGATATGGATGCAATGTATCTGAGAAGTACGATAATGAAAGAGGCACTAGTTAGCTGTTGTGAACTACACAGATAAGCTGCACTGCCATATAGTGAAAGATAGTCGCACAACGTGCAGAAACTAATAAAACCACTGTCTTAGAGGCAAAACATTGTAATTAGCAACAGCTATTTGCACTTTAAAACTGGAGGTGATAATATTTTCCTTTATGTGTATTGGGATTATATTGTCTAAATTACATCCCAAAATATCCCTATTTATTGTAGTAAGATGACTTGGTTGTTACCAGAATTGCTCAAGGGAGAACTCTCAATCTGACTGTTCTTTAAAACCAAGTTTTGGCAAAGCATGTTCCAAATGCACTTTAAGTAGACTTACAAGGCACTGTGACTTGAAGGAAACACATCACTAGAGCATACTGAACCTGATTCGAATGGGAAATGTCAGGTGGATGCAAAGTGTGACAGATGTAATGTTGCAGCTTTGGTTTTTAGCTCTGAGAAAACTGGGGTCATCTGTAAAATTATTTTTTAAAATCAGGCACTCTACTCTGGTTTCTGAGCCATTAGGACATGATTAGGATACCCATTTTTAAGCTTTTTTTCTCCCAATCATTAGCATATGATACTAACATCTTTGTGAAGGGGGAATGCTAGTCCCATTTCTTTAGTAATTAGGGCAATGAAGCACAGAGAAATTAAGGTCTGGTTTTGCAAACACTTATACTCAAGTGTCAGCGCAAATAGACCAGCTGGTTGTCCCTATGTATGAAACAGCTCAGTACAGACGCGCTCTCTCTGCCACACACTCTATTGCTCGTGGCGCAGAGAGAGGTGCTGTTACAGCAAGCTTCAGACAGCCTCCAATGTGCCAGTCCCCTGGACACGCAGGTCCCCGGTGCCCTGGGGGATACTTTTGGGTGCACCTGAAGCCAATGCAACTAGGTTCCAGATCTGGCTTTGAGGGACACCTCAAGGCTGCCTTAAGCAGTAAGGAAACAGGCTGTAGCCATTCAATAGGACAGCCAAGGAAGCTCAGCCTGTTTCATGGAATAAAGGGAAGATTAACAATTCATTTGCCCCTACTTGAGGAAAGAAGTGGATGGCAGTTGAAGCTGCAAAATGTGCTCCAACATCTGGCAAACAAAGCTTGACAAATTTCAGCCTACCAGTAAAACATGTTTTCTTTTTCTTCTTTTCATCTTTTGAATGAGGATGATGGCATTGAGGGTGAGTGAGTGACTTCCCTGAGGATGTGGTGGGATTTTCAGTGGCTTTGTATAACTGTCTTAAAATGCAGCAAGGTTCCCCCTGTAGCTCAGAACTCATGCCACTTGTTTAAACATGTCTGTGTTTGCTTATAATCATAACAAACCTCCCTAGTAGCACTGGGGAAGGCTTTACAGATCTGCACATCTTTCCTTTCCTAGCACAGGCTGTGTGGTGTCACTGGTCCATCTCTCATTTTCTGTTTTAAACCAGATGAAGTTTAAACTTCAACAGGCATAGTGAGAATAAAAGGTTCTCTCTCCCCTCAAAATAATGGTACTTACACCAGTTTTATGAGACGCTGTTTTCTGCTTAATGTTTTTCAGGGAACCAGGAGCTCAGAAGCATGTCGGGGAAGCCCAGGCTTACCTACTGTAATGGAAGGGGGCGAATGGAGCCCGTACGATGGCTGTTGGCAGCAGCCGGTGTGGAGGTTAGTTGACACTCAGTACAGTGTTCCAGACTGGCGTTTTCAACTGGCCTCAGTAAGGAACAATTTAACATGCATGTGGAGGATAAATGGCTACAAGAGGGTGGCTAAATTCATTTGGCCAGTGGCACTGCATGTTTGTAACTACCTTGTTCAGTGGTGAATATTTGGGATGCAAACTCAGGGGAGCTTGGAGTTTATTAGAGCTAGTATCAGTCCCCTGAAGTAATTAATCATAATGGGTCAAAATAGGGATTTATTTAAAGGCCCTTAATTAACCTGAGTTTTCCAGCTGTGCAAAACCACCTTAACTCAGTCTTATTTAGTTTGCAGTTACAATTTGTATAAACAAAAGAGTGTTGTTGACTTACATGCCCTGGGATGGGGTTAGAAATAGTTGGTTTACCTTGTGCTTCCCTTGGCACTGGCTGCAGCCTGTCTTCCTCCTGTAGATGTCTGTACTCTGTTTCTACCTGCACTTAGGTTATTTCTGAATCAGTGCCCTGAGGCAGAAGTGGCCAGGATGTTCTGCTCCTCCCTGGCTGCGAGGATGCGTGGGGGATCCTCAGGACATCTGCGGCCAAACAGCGCAGTTGAAGATCCGGCCCATTATCTTTTGCTTGGTTTGGTCGTTCTGTGCATGGTTATGTGCAATCGCTTACAGAAGAAAAATGTTCAAATACAGCAATGTAACACTATTCTCTCTCCTCCAGTTTGAAGAAGTTTTTTTGGAAACAAGAGAGCAGTATGAGAAGTTAATCAAAGGTAAGAATCCCAACACCTGAGACTTAGTCCCTCAAAAAATTGCTCCAATTTAGCTAAAATTGTGGTTTAAAATTAGTTTATTTAAACCAGTGCAAACTTCCAGGTGTATACCTAGAATACTGAAATACTAGTTTTGAGTAACCTGTTCTTTCCAGTGCCAAACAAATCCTATAAGCTAAAAGCCATAGCTTCTGTGACTGTGTTTATTGCAGTACATTAAACAGGGATAGCAAACATTACTATTCAATGCAACATAATTATCTATGCTCTTGAACTGTTAGCATGGTTCCCAGCACATTTTTGGTTCAGGGCAAATAGCGCTTCCCGAAGCAATTCCTAGGCATCATTTGGGAGTTTTCCCAGGCCAAGGGCCATTTCCAAGATGTCATTTAGATGTGACCACCATGCTCTACAGGCAGAGACAGCTGAATAGAGTGAATGTGGCCAGTCTGTGCCAGCTGGCCTGAGCTATTGTTGACTAGTATAGATGTACCTGTATGTTGGTTCTGAACGTCAGTGAGATAAGCCCCTAAATGAAAGGTCAGCAAGGCACCAAAGTCCCCAGGAAAGCCAGTTCTCCTTTGTGCTAGGCTCTGTGCGAACACACTAGTGACAGTCCTGAGCAGGACAAGCCTGAGCCATGAAGCTTCCCCCAGTTAAAAAACAGGTAGCCAGCAGGGAGACCTGCGGAAAGTCTGACATGGTCAAAGCAGCAAGCCACAAAGGCTTCGTGTCAACCTTGTGAGTGAGACCAGTTCCCAAACACCAGTGCATACCCCCCGCCACTGCCCTTGATTTTTGGCCAGATTAAATCCAGCAGCGAACCCCTCCGCAGCCACCCTGGAAGGATAAGACCTTGCTGCCGGTGTAGGGAAGGAGTTGGGACTGTGAGGAGCAATACAGAACACACCTGCCCTGCAGTTGACCTGCTGCCCAAGACATGTAAGAGAAACCTCACAGCAGGCTGAGCTTGCCAAGACATACTAGGAGACTTGGAAGAGGACTCACCTGCATTCTGGCTGCTTGCTCAGAAAGGAAAAGCTGTGTTCAAAGAAATTCTGACATGAAAACTAAAATGACCGAAATAAAAAAGAAGGGGTATCAAGAAGATCAGAATTAAATTTGCAGGTCCAGCTGGCTGGGAATCTGACAACCTGGGAGGGCAGTGCAGTGTAAAGACAGCAGTTGTAGCTCTAAATATGATAGCTCAGGTACTGAAAGCCCAAATCTGAATTTGCTTCACAGGACTAATTAATCCAGACAGAGTGGTACAATCCTGGATACAGTGTCCAAGCTTATCCATATCCAGAGAGAAGAATTAAATGGTGATGAAAAGGATAGGGAAGTTTTATAAAGATCAAGGGCTTTTATGTGTATGTAATGAGCTTAAGAGGGTGAGAACACAAAGAAAAAGGTTGGGTTTAATATGATGGGTTGAAGAAAGACAAATTAGTTAGTCACCCTGATAAAGGGACCTCTGGAATTCTGCCGGTCATGCAGGGCATGACTGAACACAAATAACCCCACATTACCTCTCCCTCTAATTTTTTTCTCTTCCTACCAACATGCTTTTTGCTAGAGTATCCTGTGTTTAGACACCACCACATTGTTAGAATGGTCCAGGCGTGACTTTGGCCCATGCCAGCTGATGATCTTCTAAGCAATGTCCCAGCAGCATCCTGGATGAAGCCTAGGCCAGGAGCTGTTCCCAACAGGCAGCTTGCAGACAGACAGTTGTTTTGGAGGCCGAGAGATTTAAATAGCATTGGCCTGGCCAGATCTGTACCCATTGGCCTGAGGGATGACTAGCTTGGCTCAATCTGTGCAGCCACGGGTTGCCCAAGTTGCTACCTGGATTTCAACACGCTCTGCTGGTCGGTGACAAATAGTAGGTCTAGATTACTGGTTTTTTAATGTATGCTCCACAGGCCACCTTCCGACAGCACAATTCAATCCGCAAAATGACTGGCAAACTGCTTTTAATCTTGCATATATATTCTATGCAGTGGTTATGTGAAGTGGTTCTCACTGCAAAGCGAAAAGAAGCAGTCCGCTACTGGTCATACGGGAGAAATACCTCTTCTCTGTAGATAAGAAACAAACCGTGCATTCCGTTCACTTACATTTGCTGCATCACTTTTTGTCAAGGGCCAGAAAGTCAGATTTTATTTTTCACTTCACATTTTTCTGCTGAAAAATATCCTTGCAGAGCTGTTAGTTTTCCCATTCTACTGTGTTTCTGCTAGATAGATACCAAGTAATACTTCTTCCTTAAGCTGCAGAGGTGTGTTCTGGAAGGACATGAAGACACATGATCTTTCTGTGAATGTTTACAAGAAACAAACACAGGCTATTCATTGCTGCAGAGAGAACTACTCTTTGAATTTAAACTGTAAATTAATAATATAGAATGAGTGAAGAATGTTTATTAATTCTGGACTAGCAAAGTATTTTAATAGCTCTGTGGAGAAAAAAGTAAACAGATGTGCCTGTTAAAATGAACCCTTATACCTGAAAGAAGGATGCACTGAATGGATTAAAATTGAGCAATTAAAAAAAAATTATTAACTTCAAGCAATGCAAAGTGGCAGCTGCCTAGCTGGATTTGGAGTTTTGCAGTGATTTTAACAGGGTGGGATTGTTCTCTGGATGCCCTTAATGTGTAAGTGGAGGAGGGACTATCTCTGAAGACAGTGAATTAGTCCAGCAGAAAACTGGTCTAGAAAAGACTGACTTTGCTATGCTGAATGTCTACGTCAGCTTAGCTCTCAGAGCTGCCTCACTGAAGGTTCAGACAAACGCTCCTACCAGCACCAGGAGAAAATGGGACTACGAAGACATATCTAAATAGGCTTAAATTGTTGTGGAACAACACTGAGGATAGGTCTGTAATGAAAATCTATGGGGACTCTCAAACTCTTGTCCTTGGAGTGACTGTGTAAAACTTACTTAAACGGCAACTGCTGTCACAGTCCCTGCCTCTAACCCTGTAGCTTCACGATGTTTAAAGTGGCCTGACCTCTTCCTTTATCCCTGTAGCTCAGTCTTGCTGTGGTACTACCCCTCTCATTCTTTCTAGTCATGTGTATGTGTCCCTGACAGGGAACTAATCTGCATTAAAAATAATTGGATTTTTTTTTTTTTTTTAAGTTCAGATTTAACACAGATCTTTATTCTCCTCCGATCCCTTGGGTTGAAAGTGCTGGTTCAGGCTTTTCCTGCCAGCATGAGGCAGGGTCCAGAAGTGCAAAGGAGCAGGCGGTGCCAGCTCCCATCAGCCAGTGAAGCTCTGGCAATGCTGTAAAGTGAGGGGCCCAGCTGCACTGTGATGACCTAGCTACAAAAGTGTGTTGCAGGCTAGTCAATATTTGATCCTTCCCACAATGTTAGTTTACTGCATGGAGTTTTACAGTTAGGGCAAGACATCAATGATCTCCTACACTGCAAAAGAAATGTGCTCAGTCTCTCGCTCTCCTGTAAAGCTAGCAGTCTAGGAGGAACTAACAAGCTTTCCCTCAACTTTCCATCCTAGATGGAGTCCTGATGTTCCAGCAAGTGCCTCTGGTTGAGATTGATGGGATGAAGATGGTGCAGACCAGAGCCATCCTCAGCTACATAGCAGGGAAATACAATCTCTATGGGAAAGACTTGAAGGAGAGAGCCCTGTACTGTAACACCTCCTTTCACTTAATGAGCAATTATTTGATAGCTGCATTATATATAATAAATTCAATCCTGTAAATCCAGTAGAAAGGCATGAGAAAGGCTAACACATAAAAAGCCAGGACTCTAGTTTTTGCTTAGGTTTTAACCACTATTTCTGAAATGCTGCTGAACAGAAACAGGCTTTTAGTCCTTTTAAAAAATATTTAGCTTTAGTTTATGTTTAGTTTTGGCTGTGAAAATTGGCACTACGGTGGTGATATGAAATTCCTGTAAGTTGCCTTAGTTAATTGGAAAACAGATGAAATAACTTCTATGCTCTTTTCTACTGTCTTCCCCCCACCAATAGGATTGACATGTATGTGGAAGGCATAACAGATCTGATGCAAATGATTTTGGTGTTTCCTTTCTCTCCACCTGAGACAAAGGAGAAAAATCTTGACTCAATTAAGGACAGGGCAATTAACAGGTACTTCCCAGTCTTTGAAAAGGTAAGTGACAGTGAGGATGTGTCTATAAAACTTGTATTTACCATATCAAAAAGTTTCCCCAAAATAAGAACATGTTTGTAGTGCAGGTCAGTTCCAAATCCTCAGCTTTCTTGGCTCTTTCAAAGGAGGGGAAATACAGCAGCACATTTTCTCTATTTCTTGGCTTGTATTGTCAGGGCTGTGTTATTTGAACATCTACAAAGCAAACAAAGCAATATGTTCTCAGCTATACAGCAAAACTTTTCACTAAAGTAAAAGCAAGCACGTATGATTTCTTTTTTCCTTGAGGGGATAGTTCCACACTTACATTTGCTTAGAGCACATCTCTCTGCTATACTTAATTTCAGTTGGAACATTTTCATTAGAAGAATGCAAAAATCCCTTGCAAATAAATCAGGTAGAGAGATTAGGAGTACTTTAGAAAAACAAAAGTCATAGATTTCTGCACATCCCATTTTTGAAAACAACAAACCAAACCCATATGACTCAGGCATCTGGCAACATTTCTCACTTTTGTAACATTCATCTAGTCTTGATGGAAAACAATAAAGGCTGAATGTCCTAGAAGTTCTTATGACTATAATAACTTATTCCCAAAGGCAGGGATTTTCTTTGGTTAGCTATTGTAATTCTGCATTTCTAAGTTTGCTTCCTGGTGTCAACACTGGACATAACTTTAAATGAAATATCTAAATGGCAATTTTATAAATTCTCCAAGCTACTCTTTAGTTCCTCCATTATCCCTATTTCTAATTCTATTACTGTTACTAGTCTACTTAAGTGCATGGTTTTGTCCCTGTTCCCAGTGCCTATCATCATTCATCATTACCGAGTGACTGAAGCTTGTGTACTACAAGAGTTCAGATTTTTTCCCAACAATAATGAAATGATTTAGGCTCACAGCTTCCAGCTGAAAACTCCACCCTGAAATTTCAGATATAATCGCTGTTCAGCTCTACAGTTGTGCTGTGAGGCTTAGCTGCCAGGCATCATATGTCCCATTCTCATCTGCAGCCCACATTCTCTTGTATTCTACAGGTTTTGAAACACGGCCAAGACTTTCTCGTGGGCAACAAATTCAGCTGGGCAGATGTGCAGCTAATTGAAGCCATTTTAGCAGTGGAGGAGAAAATACCTGCTGTGCTGTCGGGGTTTCCTCAGTTGCAGGTAATTTTGTTATTGAGCATGCCTGTATTCAGGAGCTAGAGGGCAATCCTGAAGTGATCATCTCTCCATGCTACGTAAATCAGGAGTGTGGGCTCTTTGAGGAACTGTCACTATCGTATGTTTGCTTAACATCAAGCACAAGAAGGAATTGATTTAGCTGGTTTGTTGTAAGACACTGTGCTCCTGATTAACCCTGTTCAGGTATGCCTATCCCTCTTTGAGTGGTATATGCCTCCTCAATAGAAATAAATTAATGTCATCCCAAGGGAATCACTGATCTAAGCTGCCTTGTTTTCATTTTCCTGCTTCCTGCCAGTAGACGCTATCTAATACCAGATAACAAATTAAGTCTGTGATACAGGTTGACACATTAGAATAAGGTACAGTGTGCCATTTTCTGTACTGGCTGGTATTACAATTTTGGGATCCCAGTAACCTCACTTCACTTCTGCCTTCTACAGTATGACTAGAAACTCAAGCCTTAGCATTAAGCCACTTTTCTTTCAATAAACAACTCGATACAATTGAGGATGAATTCTCTGCCTTTGTGCCATGTACAAAGTCTGAAACAAAGCAGAAGTGAGGCACTTCTGCTGTGAGACATGACCAGAAATCAGAAGCCTCCAGGTGTGCAGCATGCTATAGAGCACAGTGCATGGGCAAGCCTAGGGCATGACCTGCAAGAGTCATTAAGAGTTGAGATACAGTGGACCCAAGTAGTCTGTGACTGGAAAAAAGCAGATAGTGTTCAGCAGTCCTCCCATGTGCCTGTAATCATGGTAATAAAGCAGTGTAGGCACTGCAAATCTGGGTTGAGGATGCAAGGCTTGAGGTCATGCTTCTTTGTGCTTACGAACTGTTAATTTGAGGGGAATAAGACTTTGGTCTTATTCCCATTAACAAAAGAAACAGTTCAGCATCAGACTATCACAGTTAGGTTTTCTGCTTGGAACTGATGAGGAAAAGGGTTTTGATTTTTTTTTAAATTACTTTTTAAAAATTTTTAAATCTCAACCCCAACAGTTTAAGCCTGAATTTAGCGTGACAGAATGAGGCACTTCAGCCATGAAGTGGGCAGTAACGTGTCAGATTTTATCCCATATGCAGTTTTGCAGCCTCAGGTAATTCTTGCCTCTAGCTCCCATCTTCTAGCAAAGTATCCTAGCCACTAGGCATGGGCACAGTTCTGCTGAAGCCATGCCTTGAAGGAGGGATTCCTTCACTGCCAGAAGGGAAAAAGTTTCTAAAATTGGTGGTTACTTACTTCAGTTTTTACTTTTCTTGCTCCTTCTTGTATTTCCCCCTTATCCTTCCACTGCCTGTAAGGAAGAGGAAATTATGTTCATACATCTGCCAGCAAGAACTGGCTGTCACTCTGTGAAGCCCTTAGCCCCATTGTTAGAAGAGGTTCTTATGTATCTAAGATTGCTCAGCTAACTGTGGGGTCTCCAGCTGCTTGCAATCTGCACCAGTGAGTCCTCTCTGACTGTCTGTACAATGAGATGTCTCAGGATCCTTGACTCAGTTGCCTTAATACAGGCATCTCTTGCCACCTGAGATGCCCAACGCTTCCCTAATCTTAGTCCTGGTCTCCAGCCACTGCTCCAGAAGGGAATAGGTCTCCCTGAGGGGCTGTGTTATATCTGCCAGCCCTATGTAGATATTTTGGCTACCTCAGGCTACAACACAGTACGAGAAGGCTCTACTGGACAACTGAGTTGAGCCAAGGATGCCTCCAGCCTTTTCACCTTCAGCCACGCAATCCTAGAAATGCTGTGACAGTGGGACAACAGTGGCCATGCTAGATGCAAACAGAGCTCAGATACTTACATAATGTAGTAAAAATGGAAATCATGTTAACATATATCGTGGTTTGCCCACACAGGAGTTTGCACCATCAGAACCAGCAATGAAAAGAAAAAGGTCATGAGCTGGGTTAGTGTATTTGTACCTTCAAAACTATCCCCTGGTGCTCCCGGATATTGAATTTTTGCCTTCAGTTTCTTTCAGGCAGCAGAGATTTAGATGTTTTCTGCTCCAGTACTGCCTTCATTGGTAAGAACAGGCTTTTTGCAGCAGCTGGGTCCTTCTCCTGTTGGACAGAAGGAGACTATGTAGACGGCACGAGATCTGAATGAATGTTAGGATGTCTTCTAGCAGCAGGAGGAAGCAGTTGTTCTGTGCAAGGAGCACTGTTTGCTACTGGAGTAGCTGGAATTTCTCTCTTACTCTGTTGTTTTTATTTTTTAGGCTTTTAAAATAAGAATGAGCAATATGCCTACAATTAAGAAGTTCCTGCAGCCTGGCAGCCCAAGGAAACCCCCACCAGATGAATGTTATATAGAAACTGTGTTGAAGATTTTTAAGAAATGAATGCCTTGCTACCTTTGGTGAGACCCAAAACACTGAAAAAAAAAAAAACAAACCCCAAACCAAAGGAAGCAGAAAGCTCGGTAAATTAGTATCATTGTAGTTAAAAGCAATGGTAAAAGAAACCCCAAAACCGAAATAAAGCATTCTGATTACTCTGGCAACGTGACAACAGATTTGTCTTTATTGATATCAAATTCTTGGCAAAACATGAAAACAAAGGAGTATGGAAGCAAAGAACTATTTGTAGGGTAGGGAATTTATTCTTATGGAAAAAGACCAATGCGGTGTTAGTATTGTCAGAATGTAACTTGTTGAAGAAGATATTTTCTGGATGAAAATAGGCTTCCGAATAAGAGCTATGGAAGAGAAGAAAGAGCAGAAGACTCACTGAATCACTTATCCTTTAAAGAAGTAGACTTGTTTCAAGAGCAATTTTGGTGAGTAAGTACTTACATGGCATTATTTTTAGAGTGTTGTGTGAGTGAAACTTCTAATTTAGTATTAGTTTCATCTGTTGTTACTAAAGCCAAATCTCTTTGGTTTCTCACACTTCCCAGGTCTTGCCTAGGAACCAGCTCTTACAATGTTCCATTATTTTCTTCCTCTACCTTTTTAATGTGATTCTTCCAGGCACCTTAGTTCATTGTTCCCAGTGCATTGGAGTCTGTGCACCTCTTCACGTGATGAACCTTTTCAGAGGATGGGGAGGGCAGAGCCACATCGTCAAACAGACGATCACTAAGGTTCAGTATCTGTTCATGCTTCTTTCTGTGCATTTGTCTGTCATTTTGGGGGACTCTCAGCTGCTTCCTAGCCCCAGTTCTGGATACCAACGGCTAGTCCTAGTAAAACAAGAAGCCCCAGGCTCCATTCCCTGGCTCTGAGGCCATATACACACTATTAAACTCTCTTATTACCCAAAGCTGTGTAACCACATCCAGATGGCCTGTTGCAGCTGGGCCCTGGCGTGGACCGACTGTAGCTGGGAGCCATGTGGGCGAGAGCAGCGGGCACAGACCAATAACCCCTGAGCGAGTCGCTGACAATTCAGTAACACAGACAGCGTCTTCCAGCGTCCGTGCCCTGGCACTGCCTCGTGTTTGATGTGATCTTTGGAGAACTCCAGAGGGCAAAACCTGAGCCTGAGCTGCCACTTTGAAATGCGGGCAGGCTAGGGGTGCTGCTGCTTTGGCAGCACTGTGGGGCACCACCCGCCCTTGCGGCAATGTGGTGGGACCAGTGACACTAAGGTGGTCACAACTCCTCCCAGCGAGGCCTGTCTGCAATGGTGGAGGCGACTCACAGAGTGGCAATGGGGAAGGGAGGAGTGGGGTCACAGAGCAGCGCAGGTTTCATGGCTAGGACAGCTCAGGTGCATTAAAGGTGTAATAAAGTTGCCTAAATTTCTTTTATCAATCTCTCCTCGTGCAGGTAAGTTCACTAATCATTTAGTGAGTTGTGCTCATTATCTCTATCCTAAAAAACTATTTAAGGTTTCTTGGAAAGTGACTTTGGTCCAATGTGAGCAATGAAGAATGTGCCACCCAAAAGACTCCCAGGTTTGATGTCAGGGTCAGCTCAAGCTGAAGGGAGGAATGGACCTGCATTGCATTCACCCTGGATCTCTGCTCCAAATACTGAGCCACTGGGCACAGCAGTGGCAGCCATTGTGGCAGGCATCGGCACCTTGCTCCACAAGACTGTCAATCACATTTGGTGGTGACTACCTAACCCTCCGGGAGTCACAGGAGGTCTTGGAAAGATCTGCTCTGGAGGTGGCTCCTCATTTAGCTGGTGTGCCAGCACATGGGATCTGTGCTGGCCTGCCTCACCTTCACCAGGCGCTCTGAGCCGTGATTCCCCAGGCCACCCAAGTGCTCAGCTTTGTGATACCAGCCTCGCTGTGTCACCCTCGCTGTCGATGCTTTGTCTCCTCCTGGTTCCCTAGTAAGTGAAAGCAGCAGGTCTCAAGCAGTTTCTGGAAGAAGTTGCTTCTTCAGGTACCAGAAAGGTAACTGAACTTATTTGTTAGCAGTTGGCAATGCCATAGGCGAACTGCCCGTGTGGCTGTGCTGCTGTGGTGCATCCTGCCACCTTATGTCACCAGGCACCTCTGTGTTGTCCCAAGAAGAAAGCCACTGCACACCTGACTGTGCAGAGACGCTACCTCCCTCGTAGCTGCTACCGCATCCCCATGCAATCCATGTGGCTGCTACCTCTCCATGCTGAGCAACAGGATGGGCTTTGAATGTGAAAGTGGAATTACTGTGAGCTGATTGGTACATCACTTGCTTACACACCTGTAAAAGGTCAAAATGTAGTCAATGTTACCATCTTTAAATTAAGGCCTGTGGGTGAATTGGATTTTTTAAGATCTCTCTGCAAAGTTTTCCTTGCAAAACTGATTATTTTTCTTCATAAATCAATTATTTCAAACCTTGTGTATGATCTTACCAGCATTTCACATGTAGGTTACAAATATATTATCTCTTGAGAATGAAGCGTTGTAGAAGAAACATGCAATCTGTTTTGCAGACTCAGATAAGGCAGAGGTGGTTTATTTCGGCGAGCAGGATGAACCCCCCGTAATCCAAGAGGAAGCAGTCAATGACCTGCTATGCCACCTGGACACTCACAAGTCTATGGGGCCGGATGGGATCCACCCGAGAGTGCTGAGGGAGCTGGCGGAGGTGCTCGCCAAGCCGCTCTCCATCATTTATCAGCAGTCCTGGTTAACGGGGGAGGTCCCGGACGACTGGAGGCTTGCCAATGTGACGCCCATCTACAAGAAGGGCCGGAAGGAGGATCCGGGGAACTACAGGCCTGTCAGCCTGACCTCGGTGCTGGGGAAGATTATGGAGCGGTTCATCTTGAGGGCGCTCACAAGGCATGAGCGGGACAACCAGGGGATCCGGCCTAGCCAGCACGGGTTCATGAGAGGCAGGTCATGCTTGACCAACCTGATCTCCTTCTATGACCAGGTGACCCGCCTAGTGGATGAGGGAAAGGCTGTGGATGTGGTCTACCTGGACTTCAGCAAGGCCTTTGACACCGTCTCCCACAGCATTCTCCTAGAGAAGCTGGCGGCTCACGGCTTAGACAGGTGGACTCTGCGCTGGGTCAAAAACTGGCTGGACGGCCGGGCCCAGAGAGTTGTGGTGAATGGAGTTCAATCCAGTTGGCGGCCGGTCACGAGCGGTGTTCCCCAGGGCTCAGTACTGGGGCCGGTCTTGTTTAATATCTTTATTGATGATCTGGATGAGGGGATTGAGTGCACCCTCAGTAAGTTTGCAGACGACACCAAGCTGGGTGGGAGTGTTGATCTGCTCGAGGGTAGGAAGGCTCTGCAGAGGGACCTGGACAGGCTGGATCGATGGGCCCAGGCCAACTGTATGAGGTTCAACAAGGACAAGTGCCGGGTCCTGCACTTTGGCCACAACAACCCCATGCAGCGCTACAGGCTTGGGGAAGAGTGGCTGGAAAGCTGCCCAGCAGAGAAGGACCTGGGGGTGTTGGTCGACAGCCGGCTGAACATGAGCCGGCAGTGTGCCCAGGCGGCCAAGAAGGCCAATGGCATCCTGGCCTGTATCAGAAATAGCGTGGCCAGCAGGAGGAGGGAAGTGATCGTGCCCCTGTACTCGGCACTGGTGAGGCCGCACCTCGAATACTGTGTTCCCTTTTGGGCCCCTCACTACAAGAAGGACGTCGAGGTGCTGGAGCGTGTCCAGAGAAGGGCAACGAGGCTGGTGAGGGGTCTGGAGAACAAGTCTTATGAGGAGCGGCTGAGGGAACTGGGACTGTTTAGCCTGGAGAAAAGGAGGCTGAGGGGAGACCTCATCGCTCTCTACAACTACCTGAAAGGAGGTTGTAGCGAGGTGGGTGTCGGTCTTTTCTCCGAAGTAACAAGTGATAGGACGAGAGGAAATGGCCTCAAGTTGCGCCAGGGGAGGTTTAGATTGGATGTAAGGAAAAATTTCTTTACTGAAAGAGTGGTGAAACATTGGAACAGGCTGCCCAGGGAAGTGGTGGAGTCCCCATCCCTGGAGGTATTTAAAAGACGTGTAGATGAGGCGCTTAGGGACATGGTTTAGTGGGCATGGTGGTGTTGGGTTGACGGTTGGACTCGATGATCTTAGAGGTCCTTTCCAACCTCAATGATTCTATGATTCTATGATTCTATTCTACAGCTGTAGGACAGAACACAGAGCAACAGAGGTTCGGCTTCTATTGATTCTAAAACAAAAATATTAGGGCTTATATACATTTACAGCAGACAATAACTGCCTTGTGAAGGGGCCTGATGCGGCAGAGCAGCATCTGCATAGAAGGAAACTTTGTGCCAGCAGATGTCAGTAACCAAATCTGATGTTTAATATTGCCATGACAAAAGTGTAGAAAAAAGGAAATTAGAAAAAACTATTGGAAAATGAACCTGGTAGGGAGAAAACAGAAGAACGAACTTCCTTTCCAGATTGCTCACTCTCCAGCATTCCCCCACGTCTCTCCCATGCAGCAGACTACAGAAGGACAATTAATTATTTATTTCTGTTAGGATGCAACTAGATGATGTGGGGTTTTTAACTGAATATGCTCTGCATTTTGTCACAGGCAACTTATTCTTTTACTACTATGTCTGATACAATTGTGTAGCTTTTTGGCTATGACCTGCAAACACTGAAACTCATCTTTGTTCATCTGAGGGCAAGTGTGTGCTTATGCACATAACTCAAATAGTGAGCGCTAGCGAACTGTGTACTCAAGTGCACCTTTATGCTTTAAGCATAAATAGAACTGAAATAGAAAATTTACTTATGTGAGGTATTCACATGTGTGTGTAAGGTAGGGCCCTCTTGTAAAATTTTATTACTTTTGTAACCAGGATTTAAAAAAAAAAGTGCATCCTTCAGTGTTGTCAAGCTTTTAGGCAAGCTAAACAAGAGAGTAAATCTGAAAATAAGGGTGCTGGAAAAATGCTAGCATACCCTATTTGCAGTTTAACCCTGTAAGAGGTGCAAAAAACCTGTTAAAAACAATTGCATTTCCCACTGGTATAGGATATACATTGGCTTAAACCGTAGAGGCAGAGAGCACAAGCAGTTTAACAAGACATATGGCACATCCCAG